CCGCGTCGCCGACCTCTCGCACCCCACCCTCCCCGAGTCCGCCTCCGTCTTCGCCGAGCGCGCATGCCTCTTCCCGGCGGGCTCCCTCGTCCTCGCCTCCGACTCGGACCCCACCAAGATCCACGGTTACGCCGTCTCGCACCCCATCCGCCACGGGGAGCCGCCGGCGCTCGACAGCCTGCTCGGCGAGATCGCCGCCGACGCGGACGCGTATTACATCCACGACGTCGCCGTGCTCCCCGAGATGCGCGGGAGGGGGTACGCGGCGGAGGCGGTGGAGAGGCTGTTGAAGGTTGCGGGGGAGAAGGGGTTTTCGACGACGTGCTTGGTTTCGGTGTATGGCACGGGGAGGTTCTGGGAGCGGTTTGGGTTTGATCGGTTGGATGTTGATGAGGAGGTGCAGGGGAAGGTGGGCGGGTATGGGGATGATGCTGTTTATATGGTGCGGAGGAACTTTTGAGACTTCTGGGAGTGAGAAGGTGAACTGACTGCCAATGAAAGGCTTCTCCGTTGAAGAGTAAGGTACCTAGGTGTGCTCAATGCTTCTAGATTGCAGAGTAGCTGTCACCTCTAGGCAAGCCCAAAACACAGTCTCAAGAAGACCCGCAAACCCGAATAGCTCCCTGCAAAGAGGCTCCTTTAAGCAACCCTTCAGCCAACTCTTTCAAGATCCCGAAAGGGCTTGCAAAGACGCGACGAAAAACCCATCAAGCGCCTAGCCGCCCGATACGCCCAGCTCCCAGGAGAGCAAAAGACGGGGACCCAGACGAGCCAGACAGCTAGGTAGGTAGCTTCTTACATCCTCTAGGGACTCTTTGAGTCTTCAACGCAAGCTTCCAGGTTATGGATTCCAGCTGCTCGGCATGACGGCATCTCTCAATTGACCCCACACGAACCCACTCGCCCACATCGTCCACAACGTCCGACAGATCCATTCAGAAGCTGAATTTTCTCGACCACTTCCCATCCAATCAACAACTTGCGATGTTGGCTCAGTTGGTAGAGCGTTGGTCTCATATTACAATATGATCTGGTTGAACATCAGAGCCATCCAAAGGTCGTGAGTTCGAGCCTCACACGTCGCATTCATTTTGCCCTTTGTTCAGTCGTCAGTTACACTGACGCTGGACTTTTCTTTTTGCCAGATGAACAACACAGACATCGAGGCCAGCACTGCCCGGGCGGATCTTTTTGACTCTTTTCCCCGTCTGTTCCGGTGTTCACGGTACATCTGTTCAACCTCGTGAATGCGGACCATCATCCCAGACGCCACACTTGAGGAGACCTTCAGACATCGCTACCATATAACATCAGGGGGTGTGGCTCAGTTGGTAGAGCGTTCGCTTAGCAGCTTCAAATCTGCGAAAGGTCCTGAGTTCGATTCTTAGCTCCTCCAATATGCTGTGTGATATCATCTCATACCTATTTTTGGTCCCATAGGCACTTTTTTTGCGTTTTGTGCATTCAACCTAGCGAATGGTGGAGACATGTGCGGAACTCTTGTCGAAGTCCCGCCAAGCTTGAAGCAGGGAACAGGTATCGAGTCAGTGGGCATCGATGCTTGAGTTTGACGTTTGTATATCCCGGTCACGAGCGGCAGAGTGCTGAAATGCAGTCAATTCATTTTCCAGGTCTCGGACGGTCATGATGTAAGCCCGGTGCTGGTTTCACCGTTGGTCCGCCGGCTTGAGCTCCGGAGCGCATCGGCAGTCGTCGGCAGCGGCTCGCTTGCGGCCGCCAATCCCGGAGGTCACCTCGGAACTCCCCGGCGCAGCCCTGCGCTGCTCCGGTACGTCACCGTGCTGCGCCATTGGACAAACTATTCCGATGCAGCTCGATTCCCAGGCAGCAGAAATGTTCCCATGCCGTCTGCATCATGCTGCCGCAGGTTCGTTTCCAGTGATCCTTTCGTTTATAATGTTGACGGCCATGTTGACAGATTCTCTGTGCCATACACGCGGTCGGCGGAACCATGGGCACTGCCGCACCGCTCTGCGTGCCAAACCCCTTCCGTGTGTTGGGAATCGCTGCCTGGTGTCAATTGATGTCGCGTTGTTCTCTGTACCTGCCCCACAGGTGACAGTACATCTGGGCGTGTCACCGCCCTCGCCAGGCAGTCAGCGAACGACTTCCCGCAAGGGTCGAAGGAAGTATCTGTACGTGCCACCTTGGCGAACTTGGCGGTATCTTGGGTTCTTGACTGGCTCTTGACCCCTGGAGGTACAAAATAGGTGTGATTCAAGGCTGCACGGTAAAGGGATTTCGAGACTGCCCAGGAAACTGTCTGGGGGTGTTGGGCCGTTGTTGTGACACCCAGGGAAGCCAAAGCGGAATAGTTGTCTAAATAACAGACAATTCATTGGGCTGCACAAGCCGTTAGATTTTGAGCTACTCCCACATCAGGCGTTGCGATACGTTCAAATGTTACGAGGGTGGTTGGGGGAAGGCATACCGGCGGCACAGCACACTTTAACCAACTTCCATATACCCTTCCCACCTATATGCTAGCCAACTTGTACCCTTCCCACCCACAGGCTTTAAGCGTATGGGTGTGAACTTCACACCCATACGCTACATATGTAGCCAAACTTGTACCCTTCCCACCCACACGCTACATGTAGCCAGCTTGTACCCTTCCCACCCACACTGCTGGGCGACACTGAAAAACATGGCCGCGTCAGCGGGATGCGCATGGGCAGAGGTTTTGCTTGAGTGGGTGGCAGTGTGGTGATGCCGCGATATGCGGGTGGGATGCACGTTGGTCGGAAACTCTGTTGCCTGGAGGATTCAGCCCACCATCGTGCCTACCGCCCGTCCATGCACAACCACGTCTGCATCACCAGTGCGCCGCAACTCCTCTGGGAAGGACGCCTACACAGTAGAGGCAGGAAGCAGGGGGCCTTGGATTGCATCGGGTCTAGTATATAGAATCCCAGTCCAGTCCCCTCCACCAACATACCCAAACAGTGATTTGCTTCAAAAGCGCCTCCTCTGTTGTGTTGACCTCCTTCGGAATGACGGTGGAACTCCTACACACTTCTTCCGCCCGAACAGACCCAAGGCTACAATCACCGGCGGCGACCTCAAGTCGACAACCACCATCCCGGAAGCTCACCCCGGCCTCGTCTCCTTTTCCTCGCTGTCCACCCTCTCACCCCCTTGCCTCCTCTGCGCACTCACCTCACTCCCCATGGCCGACCAACGCACCCTCCGCGGCATTTCCGTCGCCAGCTTCCTCCCCGCTTTCTTCCTCTGCATCATCGCCGGCGCCGAGACCGGAGACGCCGTCCCGGCCGTCGGCATCATCCCGCACTTCTTCTCCTCCGCCCTCGGCATCGCCGTCCTGATCAGCCTCCGACAGCAACGACAGCAGCCCAAGGGGATCCAACCGGCCCCCCGCGGCGGCGGCGATGGCGACGAGGAAGCCCACATCGGCTCGGACGACGGTGACGACGGCGACCCGCCGCGCCTCAAGCACTCGTTCCTCGTCTTCCTCGCCGACGTCATCCTCGCCACGTCACTCCTGATCGTCCTCGTCGCCACCTGGGCCCAGTGGCACCACAACTTCTGGCGCGGCTGGGCCGACCACGTGATGCTCCTGACGTACGCGACGGTGCCGCTGATTCTGAACGCGTGAGCCCCCCCCCCCCCCCCCCCTTCCATGTGCCTTGTGAGAGCAGCCGCTGACGTGTCCCCAACAGATGCATCCACATCATCCTTGCCCTTCAGGAATTCATCGACGGCACGGGCATCGCCGGCTTACTGTGCTTCCGCGCAAGGGACTGTCCCCACTGCGGAAACCACATCGACGTCGCCGCCGCCGCCGCCGAGGCGCCGCTGTTTGCCACCGCCAGGCCGCCTCCGTGGTTGAGGGGCAGCGGAGCTCGCATCAAGTTGCCCGACCCCTCGGTGATGAAGGTATCATCGCGGACTGCACATGCGGCGGGATGGAATGCGCCGCCTTGGGTGGGGCAGAAGGGGGTCAAGACTATCGGGGGGGGAACAGGAGGCGGCGTTGAGGGAGCAACGGGAGGCGGCGGTGAGGGAGCAACGGGACGCGGTCTTGAGGGCGCAACGGGACGCGGTGGTGAGGGAGCGGTATCGCGATGATGGGGAGGGTGCTGGTGGTCCTCCGGGGAAGGGGAAGGCGGCCGCGGGTGAGGAGGGTGAGGGGGTGTGATGGTGTGCAGGGGATTTGTCGGGAGTCGGACGGGGATGGGAGAGGAGGGAGATGGATGAAGGGGGTATGTTGAACCTACCAATGGGGGATGGAGAGTTGGAAATGGGAGTCGGATTTGGAAAGATGGACGAGGGGTTTCGACAGGCATACATTCCTTTGGATACGTCGGATGTTTGGGCCGAGGCCTTGATGCCACACAACTATCATTGTGAGACGGTTTTCTCGATTTAGTTAATCTGGGTAGTGTTTTTGAAGGGCAGAAGGGCAAGTCGGTTGTTCAATTTCAGCATATCGCCAACATCGATTTTGTCGTCTCCTCACTCCTGACCATGTTGCCATAGTATGGTGCTCCGAACGCAGCTTGGAATGGAGATAGGAACATCCGTCGTCTTGTGTCGCGGGGAACGGTGGTTTCCTTTTCGGGACTAGCCCATGCCCCTTTTCCGATTGTTTACATCGCCCAAGTTCCCCTTGCCAGCTTGAACCGCCCGATGCTGCAAGCGAGGGCAACATAGCGAAGAAGTAAATTCCGATTGATTTTTGGCTAGCTAGCGATGATAGCCCCTCTGAACCTCGGCAGGACGTTGACTTTTTTTGTTGGGCGTGCCTTTTGTTCGGACGATGTCAAGTCGAATTAACAAAAGGGCCGCTGCGGGGGGGGTTGTACCCGCTGCTGACATGCGGAAAAGAGGGAAAATCGAGAGAAGTCCTGCGATGGACGTATTTTCGGGGTTCAAAAAATAAAATTCAAGCTCAAGAGCCGCGGCGAAAAGAAGAAGAGGGGGGAAAAAGTGAGGACGAGAGAAAAGGCAAAAATGAATGCCACGTGTGAGGCTCGAACTCACGACCTTTGGATTGCTCTGATGTTAAACCAGATCATGTTATGAGACCAACGCTCTACCAACTGAGCCAACATGGCAAGTCCTTGATTGGATGCATGGGTGACTCAGTAAGTGGGCCTATGCATCGCTCCCCCCAAGCGGCAGGCCTCCCCCTGAATTGACAAAAGCTTTCGTATCTATACTTGTTTCCTCGCCATGCAGCGCAAACAGCCGCATCAACCCAGAACCGCAGACGCCCAAGCCCGTCTCCAGCACCATCCTCTCAAACGCCCCGGCTCGCACAAGAAAAGACGCTCCCAACCGTCCCGGCCTCAAACTCGTCGACGATGCCCACGACGCTGACGTAGGTTCCTGCAGTCAAGAAGAACAACCCAATCAGGATGATGACGACATTGGATCCCGCCATAAAATACCCCCACAGGCTGTTATCTTGGACGAGCGCAAGCTTGCCGTCCGCCTTGCGCATGCGAAAGTAGGCAACGCCCCAGAAGATGAAGCCAAAGAAGCTGTCAAACAACGAGGACATCAACGAGAGGACTGCATGTTTGTAAGCATCCCATGCGTCGAACTTGAATCTTTAGGCAGACTTACGGTAAGAGAAGAAGGGGATGACCTCTGCGATGATGAATGCAAGAACCCAGGTTGCCACTGTGCGCTCATGTCAGAAGATTGCCGGGGACGCCCGGATGATTTGGAGGGGGCCGACGTACACAGAATGGCGGTCCACGTGGCCCAGCCAGTGACAGTATGCTCGGCACGGTGCCGCGAATTCTGGAAGATGCGGAAGAAGATGAAGCGCGCCGACACTGACGCGTAGAGAACTCCTAGGAAAATGATGGTGGGTATCATGAACGAGAACGCAACCTTCTTGTAGACCGGAATGAGAGAACCAAAGGCGGGGGCTGTCATGTACTGGTTGCCAGTGTAGGCGTAGACGACGCCGCCAACGATGCTGAATACAATGATCTCGGCAATCGTGCAGGCCCAAAGAGCCTTGGGGAAGTCCCTGACTGGGTTAGCCATGTACCGTAGCTGGGGAGGGCATATGCTGACCGAGGATCCTCCATCTCGGCGATGAAGCTTGGAAGCGTGATCTGACCGATAAAGGTGTACGAGATGTTGAGAAATGCGTTTAGCGCAGCAACAAAAGTGGTGCCGGCAACAGGGAAAGCGGTGACGATGGGGCTCCCACCGATCGCGGTCAAGCCAGCAGGCGTTGTGTATGTCTCCCGGGAGTCGTAACCGACAGGCTGTTTTTGGACTCCGGCAAACACTGCTGCCAAAAGGACAGACACGAAAGTGAAAAGGGCGGAAACTGTCCCGATTTTGGACAGAGTGCTGAAGGTTCGAGGGACAGAGCAGAGCCAGCAGACGATCATTGTGACAACGGAGTACACGACCGTGCGACATCCCGTGTCACTTGGGGCCACCGTATCGAGATACTTGGATCCAACAAGGACATGAAGTGCCTAGAGAACTGTCAGCCGCTTCTATTGCGGGGTTCTCACATCTGGACATACCTGGATGAACTGAGACGGGGTTAGCATTGCCATATGCCGACATGGAGGGAGATACTGACAGTATTGTTCAGAAGAAACATGACGGCGGTAGCGTACCACGCCCACTTCTTCCCCCAGAACAGCATCTGTCCAATATCGCAGATATCGCGAACTTCGGGGTGTCGCAAGCAGAACTCCCAAAGAACCAGCGAGCTAAAGAGCCAGTCAGTACATGCCATATGTCGGGTTGACAATGAGACCCACGTATACAGCACGATACCGGCAACGAAAACTGTAAGAATGAGGCTGGTTCCAAATGTCAATACTCCGGCGGAGGGAAGGGGGAGTTGGGGGCTACCAACCCGGGTACGAGTCCAAGAATACTGTAAGACCAGGGGAAACTCATGATGGCCTTGGATATATTTGTCAGTTGGTCTCTGACTCTTACCAGAACCAAGGGTGGATGGCATCGTGAGGAGATACGCACCAGACAAATGTACTCGGAAAACAGCAAGGCGGCGGTCTTGAAGCGGCAGCTGTCAGCCATGGCCTATGGTGGTTGGAAGATGCCTACAACGTACCTTTTGCCAGCTGCAAGTGCGATACTTGATGGCATTGCCAGCTTCGATTTCGATCTGCTTCGCAAGAATGGCAGAGCTGGTCTCATCGGTGCTCGAGGTATCGGAGTCAATGCTCTCTAGAACAGGGGCAATCCGGGGTCCAATCCTGACGCCCTTGCCCCCGAACCAGGAGGAAAAATAGGACGAGCCGGCAGGGACTTCGGAATTGTTCTGCTCTGCCCTCATTGACCTCTCGTCCCCGTACTGTATCTTCTCCTCGGTCGATGTCATGACGAAATGAGGGGCTGTCGGCTAGCTTGGAAGGTAGAACTGGCCGACGATGCTGAATGCGATGAATTTATGTCAAATGTAAGATGAGGAATTTTGGCAACTGTATATCTCTTGCCCCGACCCGGAGCTAGCTGTGGAGTGGAACAGCTGTAGGTATCCAGAACCAGGCGGGGAGAAATAGTCGACAATCTCAGCGAGGATGCAAGAGCAGGTTCGGTGCTCATGTAAACACTGGGAAAAGTGGCAGCTTTTCATCACCATGGAGAGAACGACCTGACATCTCGGGAGGCGATTCCCCGATGGCACAATCGCCTGATTCAATGACGCCAACTTTAGACCCTGAGAAGGAGTGCCCCTCGAACCAAGTGAGCTGCCCGGCTGCCCGTTTGTACACAGTAGATATGTACCTACCTAGGCACCGGAATCGCTGTTGCTGCCATTTGAACCAACCCCCACGGCGACATGCAGGACCTGGGACGAGGGGTTCCTGTGGGAGTGCGAACCGGAGGGTGGTGAGTGGCTCGGGGAGTGGATGCTCGGGGGGTCTTGCCTTGATCGGGAAGCCATGCCCATGCGTGCCATGCAAGCTTTTCCAAGAAAGCTTGTGGGGGACAAGCATTTCGCCGTTGGAAGCTTGCCCGTCCTTGGAAAAGATGGGTGACATCGATTTCCCTTGAATGTCATGCTGGATAGGCCTGGATGGAATCCGCCATTGCGCTCGCTGACTGGAAGTTGCTCGGGTGCATCCTCGAACCTCCGTCAATTTTTCGATTTGAAATACATAGGTGCGTTCAATCGGGATTAACACCCGAATTAGGGGCCTCGGGAAAAGCAGGGCAGGGGCAACCTGAACGGTCAAAAGATTGGACCAAAAAGGCATAATCAAGCAGTGTCAAAAATACTCATCCGATGGTTGGGACATGTGGGCAGAAAGTCGGGTGTCAGCACACCGAAAAGTCGGGTTGAATTGCATCATCAAGTGTGCGCTGTCGCCGTGGCCCGGGGGAGCGTTCCGTCCCGAAGAACAGCGGGCATCTGGCCAAAGTCGCCAAGACTTGGCCCATGCAGGGGATCACGTGGGCACGTGATCTCGCACCTCAACTCGGGACTCGGCATCAAGGCGGTGCAGAGATCGCCCCACCACCAGCCACGCTTCAGCCAAGAAATGGACCCTTGCCAGCCTCTCGATTTCCACTCGTCCCACACCACAGCGCTTCACTGCTGCGCGCTGGCGCGGCCACGTCGACCACCATGACTGTTGCAGTCCGGTCACTTGGCTGCCTCCTGCGACGACTATATACGCTGCTCCAGGGCTGAAAGTCGCCCAATCTTTCTCGGTTGCCCCAAGCCTCTACGATGCCCATTTTCGCCAACACGCCCGAGGCCCTCGCCGTCAACCGCACCGACTCCAAGAATCCCGCGACGACATGTAGGGGAATTACTTCGAGCGGCAGGCCGTGCAGGCGTCCTGTTACCGGCACCGGAACCCCGTCGCGCCCGACACGAGGCGGCCTCCGAGTCGACGATCCGAGCGACGAGAATTTGTACTGCTGGCAGCACAAAGACCAAGCGAGTCTCTCGGCGAAGTCGAGTCCAGGCCCGAGCATGAACCATAAGCCGATTTTGGAGGAACGGACCAGCATAGACACGCTGGCGGACCGCCTCGGTCTCATGACTACCAAATCGGAAAAGGCATCCAAGCAAAATGGCGGAAGGCCAGGCAATCAGCGCCCGACCAAGATGGTGCGCCCGAAAATAAAAAAGAACCCGGAGCTTCACTTTTGCTGCTTCCGGATCCCGCTCGAGGAGGCTCCGTCGCCGCCCCCCAGACCAAAACCGCAGCCCATCCAGCCAACCGTCTCCTCGATGCCGGTTGGCGCTGGGGGAAAGAACTCGAAGAACACATACGCAACTCCATCCCCGTCCCCGTCGCGACCCCGGCCCAGCCCTTCGGGCCAGGGCAGCGGCCGCCGCCACGGATCCAATGCTTCCCAGACAGTTCAGTACATGGCCTTGATACCTCCGAGCGCGTCGCCCCAGACAGCATCGTCGTTGTTGGCAGAACTCGCCAAGCCCATCTCGCAGCAGGACGAGGCAGGGTACATTTATATTTTCTGGTTGACATCCGAGTCGCAACCATCGACACCGCCGGCAGAAGCCGCCCGATCCCTGCTCTCTCCGCCCACCCCAACAAGACCCTCGAATGGCCGGCGTCCGAGCGACGTGTTGGACATGTTTGCTTCCCAGCAGACGGCCAGCCGGAGTCTCGGGGCTTCTGGAAACGGAAAAAAGAAGATTCTGCTCAAAATTGGCCGAGCGACCAATGTGCAACGGCGGCTCAATGAATGGCAGCGACAGTGCGGGTACAACCTGTCACTGATTCGTTACTATCCCTATATTCCGTCAGCCAGCCCTGCCGCCGTTCCCCGGAAGATTCCACACAGTCACAAGGTCGAGCGGCTTGTGCACATTGAGCTCACGGGCCGTGGGATGCGGGTTGCCGATCGAGAAAAGTGCTCTGCATGTGGCAGAGAACACCGCGAATGGTTCGAAGTCGAGGCATCGCGGAAAGGCGTGGCTGAAGTGGACGAAGTCGTCCGCAGGTGGTCCGACTGGAACGAGGCGCAGGCTTAGGAGGTCTTGCCTCTTCCAGTTGGGCGGGATCTTCCTCGACGTGGCGGTTGTGATGACGAGGTTTCACGAGCTACGGCCGCATCCGTTTTGCGA